TTAATTTTATTTTAAAAATATAGATAATTTAATAATGTAATTTAATAATTAATTTGTTATATTTTTAAATATGTATAATATATTTAATATATTTATTTTGAGTTAATAATTATAGATAATTAAACTTGTTATTAAAAAATTGTAATATTTTTTATTATATATTAAATTTGGTATTAAAAATAAAAAATGTTGGTATGAAAAGACAAAATAAAATTGCACATGGTATTGATGAAAGATACACAACAAATACAATATAAATTGAGATGCAGGCCGTGAAAAATCATCGATTTAAGATTCTTGATTTGAATTCCATTGACGGTAGTGACCTACATTCCTACACAGAGAACATCTTTTTGGTTGTCCTAGTTCAATCATATCTATTTCAGTGCGTATGCGGGATGACTTTGGATGACCTTTTTTATCTATGTTTTTTTTCTTCAGATTTGGTATGATTTGCAGTTCATCAGACTCTGGCCACTAAGACTCATTGGGCAGTTCACCAAATAATTTATTATACACATTGGAAACATATTCTAATGTGTATACCGGATCTATGTAAGATGTGTAATGATGGTGAACAAGCATACACACAGCAAGAACATGAGAGCATGACATGTGTAACTTCTAGAATTTGCTACAGTCACACCAATTCTAGTCTAGTCTTACTGTAAAAGTTCTAGTCTGTCGTCCTTCCCTTGGATTAATGGTTTCTTGCACCAGAAAGTGTATTCTGACAATCAAACTCGAGGACATGATGACTATTTGCTTCGTATTTTGCATCTCTCATGACCTTATTTATTATTTCAGTATAAACTTGGCTAGCTCTGAGTTTAGCGTCGACTTTCTTCCCTCTCTAGATGAACAATGAATTACATCTCTTATAAGTCGACATGATAAATGCAGAGATTGGAAAATTCTTGGTTTTCCTAATAATGGAATTAATTGTCTCTACCAAATTGGTAATCATGTGTCCCCATCATCATCCACCGTACCATGCAAAAGTCCATTGTTCTCTAGGAATAGTGTTGAGCCAATCAATTACACCTTTAGTTTGTAGTTCGCTTCTCAATATATTAAAGTAGTAATTGAACCTCGGCTTAGTCATCCCATAAGTTGTGAATTTTAAATAATAATAAATTACCAATTTATTATTGTTGATATATAGTAAAACAAATATGAATAAATATTTAATTGATCATTAAAAAAGAACTACATACCCATGTTGATAATTAATTTTTTTTCTTTATGCATTCTTGAAATGCTTCATGAAGTTTTGGGCAATGTGGTGGATGCAAAACACATGCACTGAATTGTCTGGTGTCCAACCACTGCCTTGTCTAGAGTAGGAATTTTTTATGGACTCGTACATGTCAGAGATTAAGCAAAGGTCATCTTAAGGGTAAACATGTCTTTTTAGGTAATGTAGAAAGAAATATCATGCATCTGCTTTCACCCTCAACAATGGCAAAGGCAATTGGAAATATTTTGTTATTTCCATCTTATGCCACAGCCACGAGGAAAGTTCCTTTGTATTTTCCATACAAGAATGTGCCATCAACTTGACCAATGGGCTTGTAGTATTTGAACTCAGCGATACAAGGTTTAAATGTTCAAAATACTCGATGGAATTGAACACAATCTGGAACCATTTCACCTTGTTGGTTGTATAGTGGCCTTGTCCACTTCCCAATTATCATGTAAGTCTTCAATTGTCTTTTGCTTTGCCATCCATGCTTTCTAGTAGTAGATTGTGTAGCCTTCCGCACTTTTGATGTGTCCTATTATTGTTGGAATTAAAATTGATGGATCACTCTCCATCAATGGAAGAATGCTTTTGCTTATATATACATAGCCAAGGTTGACATAATCTTGTGAGATCACTGGGGATGAACAAGAATGTTCATCTATTAGCCTACGAACCTCCCATTTTTGGCTTTTGTTTATGAAAGCCGCTCTGCACCTCCAACCACATTCATCGTTAACACATCGTGCAACAATTAATGTTGGGGACAATTTTTTGATCTTGTAATGCAGACCTTTTTTGACATATGTACAGGGAAATGTGTAAAGCAATTTATCCATCGTCAAAGTAAATGGGTGGATGTTCTTTGCTACTGCAATCTTAGGCTTGGTATCGCATGCCCTTCATCCAACCAAGAGTCAAACGGGAAATTACATATCCCCT